AGTCGATCCTTGGGTCCTAAATGTTACAAATTTAAGTTTAATATTGCCTAGACCCGCCAATTACCTAGAACTCGACGTAGAGTTTAATCACCTAATTGGTGGGTGCAAGTTATTGTGGCTAAAGTTGGGAGGGAGTTTTATTCGAAGCTTGCGTGAAGCCGCGCTCTGTCATTATTTATTCAACTTTTCATCTCACACTGTCAGTTTATTTAGACTAAAGATTTATATAAGTTTTAATTGTAGCCATACTAAAAATATAATACATATTTGGCATGCTAATTTCGCGATAGTAGAATTGGGCTAAGCAAGTATTGTGCTAGTAATAGAACGTAGTACGAACTAATAGCACTTTAATGATTTTGGACGATCTTATTTCGTTATTCCTGATATGTACCAACCGCTACCAAAGATTTTCATCCTATATTAGAAATTCGATAACAACACAGAAACATTAAAATTTTAAAACGACAACTACTTACTACATAATATACAGATTAAACAATTCTATAAAAATATAATATATGAATCCTTCAATAGAGTTCTATATGAAGATATCTATATCCCTAGAGTGCTGGTGGTGCTCCATGGGGCACAATTTTTTTTTATATTTATTGGCGTTATTTCATTTTTCAAGTGCTTGGACTTATTTGCATGTCAATTTCCTTACGAATTCTTCTTTGGCCGAATTCAATCATTTCTTCAATTCAAACCTAATATCTTTGAGTTGGAATCACATGCTTAAAAACTAAGCTAATACTGATAATTAACATAAATATGTTTAATAGCCATAATATTTATTATATATGATATCGGTCAGAAAATTCGACAAGCATTTGCTCATTACAATGTGGTTACGAATTAAATGCACGCAATTTCATCGCAGCTTATTTTAAACAGCTATTTGAATGCAACAAAACTTTACCAATCACGAAATAAAATTTAAATTCAGCCGAATGGAAGTGTTATATAAGTTTTGTGGAATGTGTCTGCGAAATGAAAATTATCTTTAAGCTAACTTAATGTGTGAACTCTCACACACTAAGTTACCTTGAAAAAACTCGACTGAGTTGACTGTGATCTGGTCTAGTGACCTAGACTGGTTCGCCTGAAACGCAGTGATGAATGAACAATCAGGACATGGTTTATCAAATTATCTGTATGTGCGTAAGATTGTATCGAACCAGTACCAACGTACGTACCTTATACGTATACGGTCTTTACTTACTTTAAGATGTTCTGAAAATAAGAAAGGTTAGGTAAACACAGGAAGGTGCATTCAATTTCTGTATATCATAGAATATATATTATATATATAGAAGGCCTTCTCTTTTCTCTCTTCGTCTCAAATTGACTGAGCGGTTAAGGGATTTTATTCGACACACTATACGCAGTATATACAGCCAAACCCGAGTGATAAATAAGCTAAGTAAAATAAAGAGCGAAAAATAAACATTTCAGCAGTGTCATAGTAAGTTTTAACTGACGCTTTTAGTAATTCCTGTTAATTCTATGTCTCTGCAGCGGAACTGTAAAGAGAGCGTTTTCTTCCAACATTCGCATATGAATTTCGGTAGTTATTTTGCGAACAATACACATTCAAGTCAGTATTGCAAGTGTCGATATCACGTACGTTGCATTTTGTAGATGCTTTGAAACGTTTCTGTCTGCGTTCTTTGCAACACATGCTACTGTTATTCAGATATTTGCGAGATCGAGAAATTTCATTTTTAATGTAAGAGAAATAGACAATAGTGTCGCGTGTGTGACGTACTAAATGTGCAAGGAGCCCAAACCTTTTTATGGTAGTATTTCCAAAGTTGTTGATTAAAGTATCGTTACCACAATTGGCATGAAGAATGTATTCATGATCAATATTATATTACCACAGAGGAACTAATAATAAATGAACATATGACTCAAATATGACTGAGAAGGAATAAATTACAATATCTTTCCCGTAAACAGGATATGAAAGAAGGATTATGGTATCATTTAGATTTATTGATGTCTTATTGGTTAAAAACATTCTGTGCCAACCAAAGCAATTAATTTTTTGCCGGAAATTTAACCCAGGTTTATAACTTAAACAATAGCTTTCGATATTTATACGCTACATTTATTTATGTGTCATTCAAAGATTATCAGAAATTTTATTTCCGGTTTATGAATTAGGCTCCCAAGAACCGTTTCCCTAGCATCGAGACCAGAAAGATTTTCAAGCATGTTTATTGTATGTCTTAAAGCTTTCCACATGAATGCATAGTATATGAATTAAAACAAAATAAACAACGTTGTATTACGGTATATTATTCATGAACGTAGAATTTCGACTACTTTTCATCCATATTTATACGTATGGTCTTAATTAGCTCTTAGGAATCTCGAAATTCCGTATAATACCCCAGCTAGCTTATTAACTTCATGTCTTGTTTTAATTTTAAAAATCTTGCCTTACGGTATACTCCGTAGTAAGTACAAGAGACTACTAACATAAAACAAACAATTTTGTTTTTTCCAGTCCTACCTATAGCAAATTATTTTACATAACATGACGTTATGAGTTCTTTATTCGTGATCAACGAGAGACAGTTACCTGAAGGTGATAGATAACTATTTTGAATAATATATATTTATAATTTAATTGAAATCAGTTATAGATATGTAGCAATATTAATACTACCTTCATTTTATATATACAAACACTTGATACACTTGCAGCAGTAAAAATGTAATTAATACATACAGAACTCTAACACTGCATCAACTTTGTAAAAAACTGTGAATATAAAAAAAATGTTCAATGTAATTAAATAAGGGCACGGTAAAACATTAACTTTAAAGTAGTTGTAACATTGGAAAGACTTTTCTTTACTTCACTTACTTTTCTCTTTCTAAGTAATAAGTGAAAGATCAAAAGAGGAACGAAAGGGAGGTTAGAAATAAAAAACACTAGGCATTTTTCATACTTTATTTATTCTTTTATGTAATTTTAGAGTTGTACAACTAAATAATCACAGTTGAAACAAAACATAACTATTTAGGTTTAATTAATGTCTAAAATAAAATTAGGTGTACGATGTCATTTCCGCATTTCATTGTTTGTACTGGAATTGTGTGCTCTGCCGTCTTAATTAGTGTACTTACTGTAATTATCAAAATATTATCTAGAGTGCGTCGTGTGTACCTATCTTTAAAAGCCGCGGCAGCTGCAACGAACGTTACTCATGCATAAATTCTGAACACAAACGATTTCGCTTTAATGTAAACAGTAATTTTGCCGGAAACTTGACAACAGCATTGGATATATACAGCCATAAGTATCTTTGGTATAAACGTAGTAAATTGTAAAGGTACACGTTTCGAGACAACGCAGAGCTTAAATCAAGAGTTTGTGCATTCATAGCACGAATCAGTTGAAAGCGGAGCATCACGTTCGTTATAAAAAAGTTCAAAAACTTAAATGTAGGTAATTACAATATTAATGTATACGAGAAAAATATAAAATCGGACCAAAACCTATCGTACTTCGTCTATGATTACTGGCAGTGTAATGATATTTTAAAAGAACAATAAAACCTAGAATATCAATCTCGGGCTAACTATTAAACGTCTACTTACAAGAATAGTAATTAACGAGAATTGCTTTATTGAGACCTGAGTATTCGTCTTGGGTGCAAACTAGAGTGTTCTTACAGTAGATGTTCGAGTCTATATTAGGTAAAGAAATAACCGAGTCTACGTAATCTTAGGCTTTCAAACGCATAATAAAAATCAGTCATTTTAACACAATAATCAATATATTCTAAAATTTACACTGATCCTAATTCGATGTCGAAGTGAGACAGTGTTTGCGAAACCTTTAATAATTTTAATTTTACTATAAATTCTTATAAATTAAATTTAAATTAGTGACTTCTAACGGTTCCGTCGACTATCTCACGTCAAAATCGATAACATAAATCTAGCACAACACTCTTAGTAAGTTATTGATATTTTCCTAGGTGCGACTAAATTTATACGTAAATATATGAATAAATAAAGTGCAAACACTTATCATATTAGCTGCATCGACATGTATGCATAAATTGGCACTGTCTCATTCATATCCGTGCAGAGTCCTTCGTCCGTTACTGCCTGAGACGGAGCTGAGAGAGCGTCTGGTGAGTAGCGGACGGCTGACTTCTGCGTGCCTCAATCACTCCACTCACAAACACCTCAGGTGTTGTTGCTCTTACGACGCTCGACAGTAACACCCCACCAATAATCTACGTATTTTATTAATTCTCAACGAGCCCGCGGGCTTACAGGTAATCTACACAACTACTCTACAAATGGAGACTTTCGGAGAGGAACACCAGTTACTGTACACTTAAAAAGATTCGAATAGAGTTGTCGATTATTATTAAAACTAATAGGGGTAGGTTTTTAAATAATTATATGTACATCCCCCGGCGATTATTCCATACCGAATGAGCATTATAAACTCGACGTCTGTACGAATTTTATTAAATACTATTATTAATATAAAATATAACATATATTTTCATAGTAGGTATCGATTTATTACGGAAGGGCCGTAAGCTGAGAGATATCACGTAAAGCGGACTTACAAAATACTCGTATAAATTATTCACATTTATAGCACACTATCTACAAACACCCATTATTCGCTTATGGCCCTCCAGCAGAAATCCATTATTCCAACTTCCAATAAAATACTGACTCATAATATTTATGGCTAACACGAATAAAAACTTATATCAAATATTTGGTGAAGATTATACGTAGCGACGTAGAGTACGTTAACGCTCTTAAGCTAACACGTTTAATAAATTTAAATAATTGATAGTGAGCACAGCCCACGCGACAGGTGCGTATCGAATTGCCTAGACTGTAACAAAAATGCTGCGTCACTCCGTCGTAGTTAAAATAAGGGAGACAATTGACTAATCTGCGCGATGTGTTTAGGCGCGGGAAGTCCGATCGAACTATTTGCAAATCTACAGTTGTTCGTCAAGTTCGGGTCCGTAGAGGTCAGCCAATTTGTCGAAGCGAGGGCCCCAAGCAGTAATGTAGCCGTATTCGTGGTTCTCATCGTCAGTGCCTGGCAAAGCAAAATAGTGGTTATTGGGGATACATAATTCATATAATGTATGTAACTTTACTAACATATGTGTGTAATTCATGTAAAATATATAGGTATTTATGCGCGGGTTTGAGGTTGTAACAGTGGTAACTTTTTGTGGTATATTGACATCAATATTACGTCATTATAGTTCGACATTCATCATCTACTTAATGATAAAAAAAGGATATCCTTAATAAATTAAAGATGCAAAGAATAGCTTTTTCAAGTATTATATTTCATATCGCCAATTAACAGACTGAACCCTATAAAATATATTTGTCTCTTTACAGTCTTGAACTGTAGTTTGTTAACGTACTTCAGGTCCAACAAAAAGTAGCCATTCGAACGACCTTGAAAGTTTGTATAGAATTGACCTAGTTTTAACCCACTACGTTATTTTAATCAGCAGCTTGAAATTCACTGTCAACTTGCATTCTATCAAAGTTTTGAATAAATTAGTCGATGGATTAAACGATTTACGCTTTAATGATTAAATTAATAATTGAATAATATAAGGTTAGTGCCCATGACCTCAGTCGTCCATATTGATTTTTATTTCTATGTGAGCAGTGCACGTGGCAGGCGTAGAAGGAAGATCGGAAAACCGCATGACTTATACCCAAAAATATATGACATAATATGTCTATAAAATAAAAATGATTGAATAGACGAATTTAATCTGAGGCCAAGACCCATTTAGGGTTGTACCCCTGCATTATTATTATTATTTATTTTAATAAATTAAAATTATCTCCGTAAATAGATATATAAAGTATTTACAATTTATTCTAAACCTACATAGTAATAACAATAACTAAAAATTACAAAATACAAATTCCAACATTTGTGCCAAACGCATGTTTTGTAATAGAATTGAATTGATTCGATCGATAAATAAAAAATAAAATGTTTGTAATGTCATTCTATATAATGTGCGGTGGCTCATATAGAAACAGGGTACTTGTATAGGAAAGTTTAAAACAAGCGACGATAATGAGCAAGCGACTTATCAAACGAATTATTCATAATCACGTCTTTAGCAGTATTTGTTAGTATTGCTTTGCCACTAATTGCAAGTATTGTTCAAAGTCTTGCAATGGGAATTCACAAGATGAAATTATATTCTGAAGAAAAATTTACATTTATACATTATAATGTTTGTGGTTTCATCTGACCATAAATTTAAACGAGTACGAAAATCAGACGAGTTTATCTGTTGGATATATACTATGGTTTGCTTTAAAGAAATTGTCTATTGCAGCCAATACAACCTGTGTTCTGTGTACTTAAATATTAAAGACAATACAATATACCAGGATAGGTTTTTCTTTATCACGTGACAAGTATAATTTTGATTAAAAAACTGTTTCTTTTCGCCCGATTTACTATTAATTGTTGACTTACCGGAAGCCAACGAAGACAACGATCCAGCAGTGCTGCCGCCTCCCTCATAGGCGTAGTTCCTCAAGTCATCAAAAGGCGGGGCATTGGGGTCACTATCCGCCCGCCTTTTATGGTCCTCAATGAACATTCCAACATTGGTCTCGCCGGGCAAGGAAACGCCGAGTGGTGGTGCCACGCTTACACCCATTGGACCAACTCCTAGGCCAACACTCATCAGAGGATCTGGAAGGTTATTTTGGCTTCAATAAAGTGAACAAATGTAAACATATATTTTAGAGTGTCGAACGAGTTGTACGAGTCCTCCATTAAAAAAGAAATTGTGCCAAATATATAATAGCACAGATCAATAATACAGTCGATTAATAAGGTTACGGAGCGAATTAACAGTGCTACTGTTTATGGTCTGTAGAATAGTATACTTTTAGTATTGTTTTTTATTATTTATACTGTGGTTGTAACTATTGCATTGGTGTAGTCTGTAAAGATATTAGTGTGTTATTTTCAAAGAGTTTCTTGGCTTTATCTTTTGTTTTCTTTTGTATTTCAAACATATATTATGTTTGTCTGTGGAACATAAGCGTATCTTGTTGATTGTTGCCAGACAGGACATTGTTTTCGGCAGATTTATTGACAGAAAAACTGATATTTACTCCGGAAACTTTGTACTAAACAAATACATATATGGAGGTGGGTTATTTAACAGACCTTAACGGGAAAAGAGTTTGTAACTACCAATAGTTAATATTAATATCAAAGAAAAGAAAGGTACGTAATATTAATAAGTAATACCTTATGTACATTGAAAATTTGGCCGATATGACTATAAAAAAATTGTTTAATATTATTATTTTTGAGGGCTATTATATTTCGATGAGACAGTTGAAACCTGTACAATCTATTTTTTGTAAGTATAAATGTCCTGAATACGTCAACGTCTCGTTTTGAGATGAGAAACTTGTCAATTATAGTTGATACATTTTTTAATAAATAATAAGATGTTTGAAAATGGAGGATGGATAATTTGGAAACGATTAGAATTGACCCAAACGGAGCAATTAAAAATAATCGTCAGTATAGAAAACTATAATTATAAACGTAAGACTTATTTAATATATATACTTCAGCGCTTTAAAGTTTATTCTTTACTCTTGCTATCCACAGCAAATGTGTTTGATAATAACGTAACGTTTCAAGTACTGTGTTAGACTTGTGTATCGATTTGTTTTCAATTAACTGTAAACGCAATATATAGCATATAATTATACATATTCACGCTTGTACAGCATAATTTACGTCTTAAACTTTGTATAAGACGTGAAAGTTCGAAACTGGCTCAGCCACAGCATTCATTGAGCTCCTTTAATTATACAAGGATTATAATAATAGCACGGAGGTGGATTTATAGATTTGGCATCTTCTTTAAAGCAATTGCATTTATTCTATACTTAAAGTTGGTTTGTAGGAAGTATTCTTAGGTTTTAAAACGATTTCGATATTGAGTGTGAGGTTATACTATTATTTCGATTGATATTTGTGTTTTGTTTCGGAGCGAACAAAGTCGCGAATTAAGGATGTAAATAGTGTGTGTGTAGTTATAAATTTGCGTGTCTTTCTGTTAAAGAGTTTTATTAAAATGTTTTTTAATCTCCCTTCTAGGTAGATAGCTAGGTAGGTAGCTAGGTAGCTAACCAAACAAACATTCGCGTAGAACTATAAAATTATACCAACGTTTCTTACTTGAGTAATCATTGTGAAAATTTACCGCTTCAGATTTTATTACAAGATATTATTCGGCTCCAACTCATTTAATTTGATCAAATTAATTTTGTACAAACCGAGGATTTGTTATTTGTACTTATGAAAATATTTAGGTTACATTGTGAATTATTATTTTTAAAAATGATTAATGGTAATTGTAAAAGGTATCTGTGCCATTTATTACTAGTTATGTAATTATACCAAATTGTGAATAGCCATCTACGCCCGGTGTGCGAAATTCGTGCGTTAAAATCGTAAATTATGCCTCAGTTACCAATAGAACGATTTGTCATGTTTATATTTTTCATATTTGACACGAGAGTGACAGAGACAAAATATTATATCTATTCCTATTTGTATTTTTCTTCATTCTTTGTATTTTCTCTACACAGAAGATTAACACGACAATATTATAAAGTTTCATTTTATTTTGATCATATTGAAAGAGAAAAAGCCCAACAAATAAGTTAACAAAAATTTGAACGTTAATTATGTATAACTCTCGCATCAAGAAATTCTACGCATTTTCAAGGGGAATTTAAAAAATATTTTAGAAAAACATCGACGCCAGCAGCGAAACGTTGAGATTTTTCCCTGTCTTCTTGTCATTCACGGTTCAACGAAAAGAATGACAGCAAATTTATTATTAATAAAAGGAACACGTTGATTTTTTGGGTTATTATCCTAAGAACGCGTCTGAACTGAGAATAATATAGAGATAGAAAAAATAAGGAACGATTTGTATTGTTTTTAGGCTTTTATTTATAAACCTACTATACTAAAGTTAACCGTGGTATAGTAATAGCTTCCGCACACAGCTTCGCCCGCGTGGATTTCGTGTATTTTACCAAGATTTTTTGCGACTTTAAAAAAAAAACGTAATATATCAGACAATTTAAAAAAAACCTAATAAATCATATATCTACCTCGGGATTTACACTATCTATACCAAAAAAATATTAGTTTTTATTGCCCGTTTAAATTAATAAAGTAAACAAAGTTATTGTCATGTCACATAGTTCAACACATAGAAAAGTAGGTGTACTAGTGGTCTACAGACAATACATTAGATTCTGATGATCAATCATCATCAGGTTGTGAGAAATAAGAAAAAAAATATATTTCGTTTTATTGCATGTTTATATATATCTCAAAATCTAGAGAAATTTGTAATTACAAAACCAGAGCTATTCACGGTATTCACAAACATATCTAAATCTTTGAAGTATTTTTCTTGTGTTTTATAGGGCCATAAAATCTATTAGAGAAAATTGGCATTTAAAATTATAATTACACCGTTTGGTAAATTTGCATAGCTTTATATCACCTGAAGGGCCGATAACAAAGCTGTTCTTTCTTTTCGTCTATTTTATTTATGTACCGCATCGCAATTAAATATACACTTATGAGTTGATTGAAGGATGGAATTTATGGCACCGCGTGGCGCGCAATAAAAGCGATTAGAGAAGCGTGGGGGAGGACTTTTCCACTTGGCAAGCGGATGAGGAGCCTGTGTAAGATATTATATCATTAGAATATGACTTAACATTGGAAATACTTTATTATATGAATAAATGGCTTTTATTATTATTATTAAGTTTATAGAAAATATAAATTACTTAATAAGTCAACCAATATTTTTTAAATTGAAGTTGTATACAATATAAAAGATTTTACTACATTATATGCTTTTTCTTTTTCGAACAAAGACTGTCGGAAGGAACTACAGAAAAGTAATTATAAGAAATACTTAGTTTTGTTTTCCGCTAATTTTCGCGGAGAAAAATTGTTTGTCAGTTAAAAAGTAAGATTTATTACTCTATTCCGATTGTTAAATTGTTCTTTCAGTCGAATAACACGATAAAATTGCTCACTAACTAAACACGGGGGGGAAAGGGTGTCAAGTACACGGTGGTGTGCATTGATGCTGGATGCATGCTTAAAAAATGCTGTGTTTGCTAGCGTACGCCTTGCGAGTGTGTGGCTTGGCTATATTGCGCGCACCCGAAAGTCCGATTCACAGGCGTCCCAGTCGCCTCCCCTGGATACTGTACAGATCTGTTAACGGGTTACACACAATAACATCCTCCTCGGGGTCTGTACTGCTGACTGTGACGGGCGAAGGCGAGTCATCGGCGCCTCAAAACCGATCAAGCAACAAGTGTGACTCGAAAGAGCCACCTCAAACCGTAAACCTGTGGTCATGTCTCACGGGGACCGGGGGTCTGGACTTTATCACCTGGGCCGCGAGGAAGAAAACCTCTATAATAAATTACCCCTATACTACGGTGGGAAACGCGCCAAGGTATGTGTATGCCCCTACATGAGGTGTATATGGCTGATGGGATAACTCAGTCTCTAGCGTCCAACTTCAACGAAACTGGCAAACGTTGTCGTACTGTGCCTTCTTCTGGGAAAAAGGGCGTCACCCTGGAAGCGACCTGTTTATTCGACCCTACTCGTGGGAACATAATGCAAAGAACACCACCTAAATCTTCGTCAATCAACGACGTCACTAAGCAATACCCAGGCGGCCCCTCGTATTCTGGAGGGGGGGGAATTTTGCCACACCAAGCGGAATCAACCACAGAAAAGAAGCAAAAAATTCTGACTCAGCAGCTTTTTCACCCTGCACTTTTTAATAGAACTCGTTCATCTTCACTCAGTGATGTCTCCCAAGTCCAACAAGAACATATGATACCTGTTAAACAGGCACCTACACAGGAACAAAATTCATACAAACCTAGTGTGCCCTGGCAACGAGTACCAAATCAAAAAGAAATCGGTCTCCCGAAGAAAAAGACTCAAGGAGTCATCACGCCAAAAAGACACAGCGACGGGAGGCAATCATTAACAAACGCCGAGGAATAAATACTCCTGAACAAAATACCTCATCGAATATAGAGACAAACAACAGCTTTGCTTTGTTAGACGTGGAACTAGGAGAAGCTACAGCCAAGAGAACACCTAAACCACCACCAATAATTTTGTATGGTGTTGATGACCTTGAAAAACTCACCCAACTCATCGAAGAAGTTATTGAAAGGAATGATTACACCTATAAAATCGTATCCAAAAACCAGCTAATAATCTCGTCTAACACGGTTGACAAATATAAGATTCTGATCGAGCACATAAGAAGTAAAGGGCTTATAGGTCACACATTTACACGCAAAGACCAAAAATGCATGAGGATTGTTATTAAACATCTTCACTTCAGCACACCTAAAGATGCCATTATAGAAGCAGTAGAAAAAACTGGAAACAAAGTACAAGGAGAAATAGTTACTGCCCGGAAACAAGGAACCAAAGAGCCACTAAATACATTTTTTTGTCAATGTGGCTCCACATGAAAATAATAAATTTGTCAAAGAAATTAAAGTCATATACAACCAGAAAGTCACGATAGAAGACCCAATAAGAAAAATGACAGTGGTACAATGCAAAAGGTGCCAACAATATGGGCACAGCAAAAATAACTGTATGAGGCCTTACAGATGCGTAAAGTGTGCTGGGGCACATAAAACTACTACGTGCACAATAAATGATAGCACTCCAGCAGTATGCGCACTATGCTCAGGAAGCCACCCTGCTAGCTACAAAGGATGCCAGGTGTATAGGGAAGTCCTAGCAAGAAAGAAAATTGGAAACAAGGTCCAGCCATATCTAAAATCAAGAACCACTCTGGAAGTGCGGACTAAGAACTCTGAAAATAATGAGCCCCCCTAATGACATGGATGTGATAGTCATTGAGCCTGATAATCACTCCAAGACTACCCAACTGAAACATCGGCTACCAAGCGTAAAAGAATCCCTGGGACCCTATAGTGAAGCTCCCAAAAATTCAACCAAATCTGTAGCATACCATACAGAGACACAAAAATCATACACGAGAGATAACACTGACCAAACGGAACGACAGATACACAGGAAAGACAAAGTTGACCATATAGATTCACAGAGAACAAATACAGAAAACCACGTTGACCATGAGTCACAAAGAACATACCTGAGAAAAATAGAACTCGGGCAAGAAAATAGATTCAGTCTAGAAGCACTTATAGTGAAACAGACTGAAAGAATCGATCAACTCATTTCACAACTGAGCACAATGATGAACCTCATCATGACAATCATCAGTAGGCTTCCACAATGATGTCGTTACGTATCGCTACCTGGAATATCAATGGCCTAACGCCAAATAAAAAAGAATTAGAAATAATGTTAAAACATAACAAAATCGACATTGGTTTAATATCTGAAACCCACCTAAATGACCGTAAGAATATTAAGATAGACAACTATGACGTATATTATACTAACCATCCCGATACCACATCACACGGAGGATCAGCAGTAATTGTAAAGAGTAACATCGGACACCACCTCCATAGCGAGTTTCGGGAAGACTGGATGCAAGCCACTACCATCACTATAAATGCAAGCATGGGCCCCATCAATGTAAGCGCTGTATATTGTCCACCAAAGCATAAACCGAAACAACACATGTTTGACCGCTATTTTAAAAGCTTGGGAAACAGATACATAAGTGGTGGGGACTGGAACTGTAAACACACTCATTGGGGATCAAGATTGACAAACAGCAAAGGACGTGAGTTGAAAAAATGTGTCGATAAACACAAACTTATTACACTGGGAACAGGTAAACCAACTTATTGGCCAACAGATGTCAACAGAATACCCGACCTAGTGGACTTTTTTTGTGGTGAAGGGACTGTCTGATGTGTATTTTGACGTGGCATCATCGTCTGATGGTGGGTCTGACCACACCCCTATCATAGCAACATTTAGCGTTTCCGCTATACATAGAGCACAGAGACTGGCGCTATATAATCATAAAACAGACTGGGACGCATTTGCTGAATACTTAGAAGATGAAGTTGAACTAAAGGTTAGGCTCAAAACAGAAGAAGATATAGATGAGACAACATTCTACATCACGAATCTCATACAAGTAGCTGCGTGGCGTGCCACCCCGACACTGAGCTCTTCCAATCAATTAGGTAACATACCACTGGAAATACGCAACAAACTGGAAGAAAAACGAAGACAAAGAAGGCGATTACACACCAGCAGATCAGATGTAGACAGGTCGGAATTCAATAGAATATCTAGAGAACTAAAAGAGTTAATTAAAGAAAATCAAAACACAACCTTCCAAGAAAAACTCTGTACACTCTCGGCTCATAAGAAGGATAATTACTCACTCTGGAAAATAACTAAGAACTTTAAAAGACCACATAACCATATACCACCTATAAGGATATCTACGAACGATCCGTGGGCTAGGAGCGGCAGTGAAAAAGCTGAACTTTTCGCTAGACACCTAAGCGAAGTCTTCAAACCAAACCAATCATCCATGACTGAGTTTGAAGAGGAAGTGGATAGAATGATCAACAGTGACCAGCAGTTATCACTACCGCTAAAACTTGTCACTCCACAAGAATTAATGCGCACAATAAGCTATCTGGAAAACAAAAAGGCTCCTGGTTTCGACCTAATAACGGGTGAAATCCTTAAAAAACTACCTAGAAAAGCAATAGTACTTTTAACAATGTTATTCAATGCCATTTTTAGAATACAGTACTACCCAAAGCTATGGAAGATATCACAAATAATTATGATTGTAAAGCCAGGGAAACCCCCAACAGAACCTAGCTCATACAGGCCTATAAGTCTTCTCCCAACAATATCTAAGGTTTTTGAAAAAACTCTTCTGCGGAGACTAAAACCAGTCCTGGACCAAAACAGAATTATACCCGATCACCAATTTGGTTTCCGGGAAAAACATGCTACTGTAGAACAAGTACACCGAGTGGTTCACAAAATAAGACAATCGCTAGAGAAAAAAGAATATTGTTCAGCAGTATTCATAGATATTCAGCAGGCATTCGATAGAGTTTGGCACAAAGGATTGTTGTACAAGCTGAAAACCCTCCTACCAAACTCATTCTATATGATCCTAAAATCTTATCTAGATCAAAGAAGATTCCAAGTAAAGTATGAGGAGGAACTTTCAAGGCTCTATTACATCACTGCCTCAGTTCCACAAGGATCAGTGCTTGGCCCAGTCCTTTATTCAATATATACGGCAGACTTGCCTGAAACAGAAAATGTCGTAACAGCAACATACGCAGATGACACTGCATGCCTTGCAAGCGATGTAAACGCGAATAACGCTTCACTGAAACTACAGGAACAGCTCAATAAGGTGAACGTGTGGCTGCAGAGGTGGAGAATCAAGCCTAGCATAACTAAATCAATACAAGTAACATTTACACTGCGAAAGGGCGACTGTCCACCTGTGCATATAGAAGACAAACCGTTACCAAGCAAAAACAGCGTGAAATATCTCGGACTACATCTGGACAGAAGACTGACCTGGGCTAATCATATAAAAGCCAAGAAAACAGAAGCCACCTTGAAATTCAAAGAGCTATCATGGCTTCTAGGCCAGCAATCTAGGCTGACCCTGAGTAACAAATTGCTTGTGTACAAGGCCATCATACAACCAGTGTGGACATATGGAATAGAACTCTGGGGCTGTGCAAGCAATTCTAACATCGAAATCCTCCAAAGATTTCAAAACATTGCACTGAGAACTATTTCATGTGCACACTGGTTTGTGAGAAACACGGAAATACACGAATATCTGGAGATGCCAACCGTAAAGGAAGTAATCCGCAAAAACAGTAGTAGATACAGGGAAAGGTTAACCAAACATACAAATGAGCTGGCTAAGAATCTGCTAACCCCAGGAGATGATGTAACTCGCCTAAAAAGATGGCAAATACTAGACCTAGACCAGAGAAACTGACCTACAATAAAAATCCAGTTTCTACCAACACTTACGGTGCCTTTCAATGGAATCGCACCCAACCAAAATTAACCTCAGAAAATATCTGATTATGGCTGATAGCCGATTGCAGATGAACAAGAACACAAAAAAAAAAAAAAAAAAAAAACTAAACACGTTTACATTTGTCTTTCAATATTTTCTTATACGTAAACTGAATTATTTAACATTCGCTTGAACGGTCAAGGGAAAAATCGTGTGGGAACCGACATGACTTAGACCCAAAAAGTGGACGGCGAGTGTCAGGCACAGGGGGCTGATCATCTACTTGCCTATTAAATTGAAAAATGACCATGAAACAAATTCAGAAATCTGAGGCTCAGACCTAAAAAGATTGTAGCGTCACCTATTTATTTTTTAAACTGAATATATATACTTACTCATATTTTATAGGAAATAGTGTCAAAAGAAAAAAGAAATAATAAAAGTAATTTCCGAAATCAGCTTATGCAGTTAGTAATTAATAAGAGTTAATAGCCATATGAGTGTTTTCGATTTAAATATTAATCTTAAGTCTTAAGGATTTACGAATAACGAGAATATTTGAGAGTTTCGTGGGTAGACATTTTAATATAATATGAAATCGAAAAAAAATGAGTAAATTAATAGAAAACTTTTAAATTAAGCAATATTCAAGGTAGTAGATTTTTTATCTTTTATGCAGTGATCGCCATTATTGTGATATGATTAATGAAAAAACGAAAGAAAACGAATGGTTAACAGTAGGGTACTGAATTAGTTTTATAATAACACTAGCTGACCCGGAAAACGATGTTTTCCCATGTATATTATGTCTAGGAAACATTTTTTAGTTCAATAAAAATAACTATCTACTATAATAAAAATAGAGTTAATCGTAGAGGGGTAAAAATTACGAATATTGTTACACGAGAATTTTTTAAAATTTGTTTTATCTTTGATCTTATTGAAAACAAGTTCTCTTTTTTGCTGTGTTTGTTGGTCTTTAATACTTACAAGGTAATTTTGTTGGAACATGATCTGGAAGCGGTCCACCAATAGGTATTTGTAGAGGAGTGATGTCGAAGGCCGTCATGTCGTCCTCACCACCTCCTTCGTCATCGTAGTTGATGATGTTCTCCCGCACATCATCATCAGGGCCAGGGTACTTGATGTGAGCCTCTCGCCGTCGGTTGTATACCACGAATACCAGAACCAGAACTGAAGAAATGGAATCATAATATTTGTATTTGAAAGAAGAGTCTTAACGAGTTCTCGAGATTCAACAATTGTCGGAAATGTGTTTTGGACTTCTGAAGTTTGAAAAAAAAGGACAAGTTAGAGATTTACTCAGTCCTAATTACGATATTATTACACTATTGGTTATTTAGAAAACACGTTCAATAAAATAAACCTTCTGAAAAATGACCTTACTATTAGATACTATAATGAAGTTACGTACTACGAATGGATCTAGCGATAAACTGTGAAGGTGATCTTTACACTGACGGAGAAACATGCAAAATAATAAATGTGCTCACCTAAAAGCAAAAACAAACAGACAATGATAGCTATAATGAAATCTCTGGAGGGCATGATGATTCCCGACGCGAGCAGTTCTAATTCGCAGTCATGGCCGGCGTATCCGAACGCACAGATACAGTCGTAGCGGCGAGCCGGTTCGCGATCAACGCACTCCCCGCCGTTCAGGCACGGGTTTGCCAAACACTCGTTCACGTTGACACAAGTGCCGCCAGCTCGCGTGGATCCGTCAGGACACCTAGACACAGTGCGCTTTACCTTCCCATTTGCGTCAGATCTCACGCGCACTGAGCCCTTGACAACATGCACTACTACATACATACACTACTATGACATGATATATAGCTTGCACATCAATAAAATCATTAAGCTTGCTGAAAAGTTTCACTACGAATTTTCAGCACAGTGGCACAAGGCCGTTTTATTTTTATACGCACTTAAATTCACTTTGAGATAAAATCTAAACATTGAATAATCAGGTGTTTTATTGCTTCCATTCAAAATATTAAATACGAAATTTATAAACTCGTAAAAACATTTCGAAAGAGTATTAAATGAAACATTTTCCTTTTCAAATTCAGGCCTTGTGAGCAGAAATAAATGTTGGCGATTATTTTCTGTAGCGTAATTTTTCTATTAAAGTGCAAGTGATGGATATAATACATATGAGTGCTATTGTGAGTTGGTGATGACATGAGACGCTAAGACCGCAGCTAGGTTAGTGCTCACTCATTATTATTAGAAGGCAGACGAGAATCGCCGCGAGAGCGCCCATGCTGAGTTTGAGCGTGCGGCCCTCTTGGACAAGCTCGCAGTTCTCGCCCCAAAACCCTTCAGGGCAATGACAGCGGTAGCCGGGCTCCCGGTTGACACAGGAGCCGCCGTTGCGGCACGGGAAGTAGAGACACTCATTCTTGTCAACGCAACCTTTACCGTCCGTTGACAATACCAAACCCTCACCGCAACTAGACACCATTACATTTTGTTAAACGTACATATAAGTATATAAAATAATTAGTGATTAGGCATATTAAATGTTATAAATAAAGCATTATATAAGCTGGATTTAGTAATATAAAAATTTGATTAGTAATGCTATATGGCTTTAATATTGTAAGTATGATAAGGTATATAATAATAGCATTTCATGGTGATGCAGCAATATACGTATATTATCTATGTATAAGAAGTCTCAGTGCGCGCTCGAGTCTTAAACAAAATGTAAAATTAATCATTAATAAATCAATAGATTTGGTAGACAAAACATTTTATGAATTAAATATTTACTCACGTGCATTCGTACTCGTTCCACAGGTCCACGCATACAAACGGTTCCGTGCAGTGAACGTTGATACAAGGGCTATTAGACGGGCAGTTGCGGTCCAAGTTTCTTGCCATCGTTGCTTGTCCCCACTGAGTACCGTTCATTGCCGGAGGCAACGGTAGATGTTTGCCTTCTAAGCGTATATCATCCAAGCATCCTTTTTGGAAATCGGCATAAACTTCGAATGTTCTTACTCCAGTATATTCTGCTTTACCGCCAGCATACACACCTTCTTGTTTATCTACTAAAAGCCATTGGTGTCCCTCAAATGTAAAGGTTTCGTTATATCTTCTACCCTCTCCACCATCTATTTCTAGGGTAGCGGCACTACCATATCGGCTTACGCGGGCAATATGCCATTGTCCATCATCTACAGCTACTGAATTTAACCAAACATCTCGTTCTTCAGTTCGCAAAGAGTTCAAGTTAAATCTGAAGTGCAGTCGTGATTCCTTAACTTCCAGTATGCCATATTCTCGGTTATGTTGGTCGCTTACTCTAAAAAGTTCACCGTGAGGCTCACGTGTTCTGAATCGAAGTTGAATCTGAGTACTAAACCTGTCAGGTTCAAAACTTAAAGCAAACTTCACGTAGCTTTGAGGCCTAAAGCTAGTAGGCGTAGTTGGCAAATTACACGATGGTCCTGTCCAACCAGGTTGGCATTGACATCTCGCTTCAGAGAAACTACCCACACAAGTACCGTGTTCCCAACATCTAGATGTAGTATCTGCTTGATTACATATTTCTTCTGTTTGGGGACAGCCAGCAACTGAATTTCTAGAAAGTCCTGGATGAGCCAGGTCATATAGTTTACTGTTGTGAATGAGGTTTCTTATACACCCATCAAATCCTTTACCAATAGGCATAAACTGCCAATGATAATGAGTGGGGTCAAAGTGTTCGATATACAGACCTCCAATTTGAAGTGGTGCATTAACGTTTAAGTATTCGTTGAATGGAGGAATAGTTCCCGTAGCTTGACAAGTTGAGTCATCAAAATTCGGAGGTGTACCATCCTCCATCTCTTGTACATCAGCAGATCTACAAAAATCTACAATCATTCTAACATTTTCAGTATCCCAGAATATATCTAAGCGATGCCATTCTCCATCATCTAAAGGCTTTTTAGTTTTTACTCTGAGTTCCAGCGTGCCAGATCCAAAATCTATAAGTAATCGCGGGTTGCCTCTCTCTAACTCTACGGATATAAAGTCAGATACCATAATTTCTTCTGGTTCCGGTGGTACAATTGGGCCGTTATATAAAAGTACACCTTCTGATTTTCTAGTAATGAACTCGAAGCTTAAGTGGGAGCTATCGCACATTTCTAAAGATGGATACCATGCCCATCCAGTGCCTCTGAAACTGCGTGACGTTTGTTGACACCTTGGACCGGTGTAACCCGGAGGGCAAGAGCATGTTAATCCATATTTACCTTCTATACATCTCCCTCCATTATAACAAGGGGAATTACGGCATGTTTCTGCTTGAGTGAAATTTCTTGCACCACATGTGCATTCTGCAAGAACATCAACACGAACACCCACAAGTGCGGTTTTATTTGCATTCACCATGTAAGGTAAGTTACTTATATCGAGAACATTAGTACAGGAACCCTCGCATGCATGATTTTCATATAAACATTCATCAATTCCAACCATTGTTATATTAATTCCAACAGCTCTTTCGATTTCCTCTCTATGCATCAAAACTATACCATTAAGTCGAATTGGTTTATAATAGTGTGCTCCATGAGCTGAAAAGCGAATATCTGTAACAGGTGGATGTTTTTTCCTGAGCTGTACACTGAATACATCGATATTTTCTCTTTCCGTGTTCAATAAATCTGCCAATTTATCTTTAAAAATATCCAACTTGCTTCTCGAAACGCTTAATGTTTTATAATTCCATACTCTTATAAAGTCTTCATCAGATATTCCTGACATTCGTATCGATCCTGAGTTTATAATAGCATCATGCGATATTTCTTTTACATAAACTGTAACGTTTGCAGGTACATCAGTTTGCGTGTGTTTTCGATCATAAACTTTGAATTTCAAATGATATCGACCCTCTCGAGTTTTATGCTTCATTTGTATCATACCAGTTTCTTCATTTAAGGTGAAATTAGGATGTTCAGTACTTTCCCAAAAGAACTTTTTGTCTGGCAAATCCCAGTCATCTAGATCGTAGACATATACTCTACCTATCTCAGTATCTGGAGCTTGACCTTGGTAACTGTACACAAGTATATCTTTGGAACCAGGTTGCATTTTATTGTCATTCACATCACCAATGACAACCGTTAAAGTGCTTGTTCCAGTCATTGCAGGATTACCGTGATCCTTAATAATGATAGGAATAAGGTACTCCTTTTGTTGTTCTCTATCAAATGATCTTAACGATGATACGATAGCCATTCCGTCACCATTAGCACCTTTTTGATCTTGTTCAACTTTAAAGGAAGCTCTGATAATATCATCAGCACCTGGGTCTAGTCTGAATTGGAATGGCGGACCGTTGCTCTTTGATCTGTCATCATCATCAGTAGCTAAGATTTCGGCAACCTTTTTAGGAGTTATATGTTCAGTTAATACAGGTCTATAATCCTTTAAAAATGTAGGTGCGTTGTCATTTATATCTTGCACTATAACTGTTAGCGTAGCAGTTGCAGTTCTTGGTGGTAGACCATCATCAATAGCTAATATTTTAACTTGATGCCTTGGAGTTTCTTCTCTATCTAAAGTCCGTTGTATACTTACAGTTCCCTCTTGGTTTATCGAGAACTGGCGTTTTCTATCCGAAGATCTATCGATTGCATAGGAGACTTTACTTTTACCACCTTGATCAGGATCAGTTGCTTTAAAGGTTTCTAAACTCTTTCCGACCTCTGCATTTTCATAAACTGATACTTCAATATTTGCTCTGTCAAACTGGGGTTTATTGTCATTTATATCTCTTAACTTTACCACTACCCACGAATAAGCTACATGATATTTGTCATTGTCGTTATCTTCACCTTTATCGTTAACTTGAATTCTAAATCTAAAACCATTACTTTGTAATTGATCCTCATAATCTAATGGTTGTACAATTTTTAAAGACCCGGTTCCATCATTATTTCTAACCATAGTAAACTTATCAGCACCATACCCACTATTTTCGATAACTTTATATTGAAATTTATTTGTCTCGTCTTCGTCATGAACGGTAACAGTAAGAATAGGCATTTCAGGAAGATTAGTACCATCTGTTTCATCTACTTCAGTAAACCATTCGTCTTTTGTAAATTGTGGTGGCATATCATTTATATCTTTAACGCGAATAGAAGCTGTACCAGTACCCTTTAACCCCCCTCCATCTGAAGCTACTATTTGTATAGAATAATCCGGTGTTCTTTCACGGTCTAAACAACAAACGGCCGTTTTAATAACACCAGTTTCAGGTTCAATTTCAAATATGGGAGACCCAGTTTCTTCTTCAATAACATTTTTCTCTATAGAGTACCAGAGCTTAGCATTGTTACTTTCCGCAGGATCATCATAATCAATAGCCGTCATTGTCATAACAACCATTCCAGCAGTTCCATTTTCAGTCACGTTTCCGAAGTAAACACCTTGAGGGAAGATGGGAGCATTATCGTTGATATCTTTAAGATTGACTTGAACATCGGCATAACCAACCAGTCCTTCGCCTCCTTCATCTTGAGCAAAAACTGTGAATCTCCACTGAGGTCTTCCGTTTGGTTGGTCACGATCTAAAGGCTGCAAAATGAATAAATATGTTATAAATTTAATTTAATTTACAAATAAAATATTTTCTACAGGTAAATTTTACCTTTAAAACAAATATTTCTCCAGTGGTTCGGTTTATATCAAATTTACTATTTGACGGGTTATCAGGATCAATACCCTGCCCCGTCAAGAAATAAACGATATTTTGCTGACGGTCTTTATCGCCATCGGTAGCAGTAACCTGTTCAACGGAAAATCAAATTATAGAATATGCTTGCCCGCTACTACGGCTTGGTTTTGTTTACTTAATGTCAGTTGGAATCAGAGAATATATAATAAGTTATCTGATAATTATTACCCTATAAACTATCCAATATCAAATATACTTAGTATTGTCTTTGATTTACATAACCTTTACACATTTAAAGAAAAAACTGTTTAACCGGATTGAAGTTATGTATTATTATTATGACCACGCACGCTGTAAAGCACGCGAAACGTCGGATAAATTTAAAATTATGTTAAATAGTTGTAAATTTATAATAATACATAACTTCAATCCGGTTAAACAGTTTTTTTTTTCATCAAATATACTGTATATGAAATATAAAATCATGTTATACAATTTATTGTGTAACAGCAGTTTTATATGATTGCCTCCATTATTAGCTATTTCCAATCAGGATAATGAACAATTAGAGATCCATTTAATGCTTGGGGATGAATATTGCCGTTAAATATATGGGATCCTGACTCTCCAATTACGTCGGACTAGCTGGAGGCTGAGAAATGATGAGGGTCGACGTTAGCGTAATTATGCGGATCATTTGTGAATCGCGCTGAATTTATAAAATGCCCTAGAGTGTGGAAAAGAAGCTCGCCTTTTTAGATGACTACACTGATATTACCCTGATAAAGCTTAGATGACAATTTTAATTTATTACAAGAGAATATATTTTTTTTTGTGTATACTAGATTCCTAATTGACTTATTAAGTAAACAAGACGTAATTAAAAAGTTTAATAAGACCTCATGCTTAACATAACATTTGCAAATCTAGTCTAAAAAGCCCAAATATCCAAAGCAGAATTTAAAACATCCACGCAATTTTTCAGTACTTACCATCCCTATATCAATATCAAAATACATTATTTACCTAATGGAATAGTGTGGATAAAATTAAATTAAAAATTAAAAACATAATAAGTTCATAAATCAAGACAAGCCTCAAGATTATTACTTTTTACAAAAATGACTTCATTAGCTAAACTTAATGACTTCAAACTTTTAACTGAAATAAAATGGTTGCTTACGAACTAGCTTACATAATAAAAATAATAAGAGGGAATTGGATCGAAAAATTAAATAAAGCAATTACATTTCGCAGCGTAATAAATATTTTCGATTTAAATATTATAATATTTCATTAGTATAATAACTAAATTATAACGTAGAGTCCACAACCAAAACAAAGTCCTACTTTTTTATTTTATATATTATTACTAATAGTATTAGTATCATAAGCAAATTAGGAATATATTAATTCAATTTAAAAATTCCCCTCACCGTAACTGCGAAACGTATCGTAAATAAAAAATAAAGAAACAAAAAAAACCTGTGTAAGGGAGTGGGGGTAGGGTCCTGTTTCCTCGAGGGCCTGAGTGACATACACGCTGCGGGAGAAATGCGGTGGAAGATCGTTGATATCGAGTACATGAACCACCACCCGCGTTGAGTTCTCGTTGCGTCCATCCGACGCCACCAGCGTCAGCTCGTACTACGCACACGCACGCATTAACCTCACATCCACATGCTCACGCATACCATACATCTGTGATTTCAAGTACACTGTATAGCTCAATTATACCAAGGCATCGTCAGGAGGGTAATATAGGAGGTACATGTATTTAATTGGTCAAAATGTTTGTTGTCTAATATACATTGAGTTTCTATGATAACAGGTTTTTTGAAGTTATACTTCTTTAGGCGCGTTATGAAAAATTTATGAGTGACACAAAATTAACAGAATGAAGTTGCCCACGGAAGATACTACGGCATTGGACATAATTTAAAAACAACATTCGAATAATAATAGAATTTATGTTACTCTTAATGTAAGAGAATAATAATAAATATTTATTACTTTAATTTTTCAAATGTAAACTGAACTTTATTGACTATAATGACTCCTTTTCCAGTCTTTGATTATTTAATTGTAATTAATTATATTTTTAATAATGCCAAAGAAGTATAACTTCTTACGCGCGTACATAAGTACACGCACCCCTTTTATTATAGTACACTCACGACTAGATTGAAGTTTTTACTTGCTTTATACAACTCTTTTTTGCTTTTCCTATCCTCTGTAGCCATTTTATTTCCCCCCCACCCTTGGCGCTCAGCTGACGACGCCCTTAAATCTATATACTTTTACAATTTTATTTTTACTTAGCTAGGTAACGGTATAAAACCCCAAGACGATTTTTGAACGTACCCCTGACGTTCGAAATTCGAAATTAAATTCGATTTACCCTAGTCCATAAAAGTCAATTCAATCTATTTGTGTAAAGTAGATAAAACTGAGTAGAAATAACAATGTATTAAACGTCGACTTCGCCTAAATAAAAACCTAATAAGAGATAGTGGCTATTGAGCTAAGTATAAACAGCTAGATTTAATTAGTTTCACTAGTAAGCTTTTCGAGAAAGTTGAAAGCTGCGTTTACATTTACAGCGTTTTAAATGAAATTAAATTTGAACATAGCTGTTTCAATGTTGTTTTTAACTTCTACATTAGATGGTACACACAGTTTATATAAATATTCTAGTATGAGTTCTTAAATTGCTGTTTCAGTAAAAAGTTAATTAATATTGTAAGATGTATATTTCGTTTGTAACTTGCTATTATTAAACATTTAGAAGTAAATTTACTATTTTATTGAAGACGGCCTTTCACACCCTCTGCCTACAGCCAGCTTCATAGTTGTACAAAGAGAAAACGGGTTTTAAGCTATTTAAATAATAGAGGATGAAATTTTCTAACTCTCTAATCAAGCATTAAATTTTGTATAATTATAATACCTACCATTAGATTTACTCTAATGGAAGACTCAAACAATTATCAAAATAATTTATTTAATAGCTAAGTATTTTAATCAAACGGTAATACGGTATAAGATCTATATTGGAACTCTACACAAGAACATTAGAGTATGCAATGTATGAACTGAACTTTGCTTCTGAATATTGATGTGGCAAACATTTAGGGTCGAGTTTGTATTTAAACAGTTCTCCAGAAATTACTAATTTAGCAACTATCGTAGATACGATTTTCCTAACATGCTCGTTATCAAAATATGTTATGAACTATTATTTAGATGACTTACAAAGGCGTTCAGAAAACAACATTTTAATTATTACAGAACAAATTATACTTCTTTTAAACGGTATATAAGTTAATTTTTCAGAATAGTGAATAAAACCCTTGTAAAAGATTACCTTTAGAAATGAGCTTAATACGCCGACGTGAATTCAACAGGATAGTTAAAATTCTTCATCGCTAAATGGCGGCTCAGTGAACGTCAGATATAGCAGAATTGTCGCTCCCGATCCAATATAGTCGATGGTAATTTCAATATCAAACGCTTAAGTTTCAACGAAAAAGGGATTTTCCCCGATTTTCCATTATAAAAAGCTCGTTGTCTGTGGATTTTATGAACACGGAATTCAATATGAAAGTATTTTTGTACATTATTGTAGAATAAAATTGCGTGGATACCGAGAAACATAAAATCTAGCATTCGACTACAACGACTGAAAATGCCACAACAAAAAATCCATGCCATGCAAAAACGAACAGCAACTATTCAACCCATTGAAAAAGCCACACACGATTCTCTTTGGCTGAGATTCTAAATTCAAAAAAAGAATCGAATGAGGTTGTGGGGCGGACCTGAAGCACGCGTTTGGGCAGATTGCGGTCATCTTCTTCTGTGATTTGGGTTCGGTATGTCGGTCTCTCGAAAACTGGCGGATTATCGTTGACATCCTTGACGTGAATCACAACTGTTGTGTAGTTTTCCTTTAAGTTGTCGGACGCAGCCAACCTCAGCTCATACTGTTGTTCCAGTCAAAGATAAATTACAGATCGCATAACGAAGGTTTCTCTATTCATTGACATCGTGTCGTTTTGATACTAAGATATAACTACTATTTATATTTTTTAAATTAAGATGAACAACATTCATAATCACGTGGCAATGGATGAATTTTGTCATAGACAATCTTTGAAAATTTCGTAATAACCCTTTTGAAAATAAAAAACCAATTACTGTTTCTTTGCAATTAAAACTCACCCTAGTAATGATAGATTATTATAATTATAATTAAAAAAGTGATTTATGTTTAATAGGATTAATTAACTTTGCAAAACTTCAAAAACATTTGAACAGCGAATTTCTTTTGACAAAGTCCATCAGAACTTTTATTATTTCCTAATATTTTTGCCAGATCTATGTATGATTTTGTATTATAATGAAAGATTACTGCTTCTACTATTAGATTAAGATTATATTTTATAGTAATAACCACATAGTTTTAGACCATTTTATGAGTACTGTTTTACTAACTTAAGAGTACATTTATCAATATTTATTTTATCAAATGAACGTAAATTTAAATCAAAATAATATGAATAAAGATTTTTCGTTAGTCCATTACGCCACAAAGCATAAAAGTCTAAATATGCCCAGATAATAAAAGGATTAAGAGCTATAATCTGTGGATAATATGTTTAATAGAGCGGTCCTTAGACTACTGTGGCTTCAGCTCAGAGGAGTTATTGCTGTCATCTGTCAGTGTCACTCGGTAATTTCCACGACATGGCGGGAAATGTCTCTTTCAAAAGGCAACTCACGCATTCCAAAAGTTCAACTCCTCTAAACACAACAATTTCCGTTGCGAAATGGAAACTGTTATTGTGATTAGGAGAATTGTATCAGTTTTTGTGAATTATTATGAATTCTTATAACGAACTGAATTACATATTAATTTATCAGCTTGAAGAATACGAAATTATTTACACATTTTTAATACTAATGTTGCTTCTTTTAAAAAGATTTTAAAGAAAATTACACCAATTTCAGTTTCATTATTCTTTTAGTATAATGTACCTATAATCTGTGGTATTACCATAATTGCCAGTCTACATTATATCTGTAGAAAAAAAAACATTGTCGCGTCCATTTCAACAAAATGGCACACATTTATTTAAATTCAAACCGGATAAAGCGGAAAGGAGTCTGAAAATAAACTGGTTTACATCCATTTAAGCTCTGTGAGGATCTGCAATTTAATAGCAATCCGGCCTTTGGTAGTAGCTCTGTGCCGGCTTGCTTAAATGGGTATTAAAGATTAAATTATTTATCTCGCGAAAAGTTCGACGTTACACCCCTCGGGTATAACAAAGAGCTCTTATGATAGCTATACCTTAGCCTGGGGCAGCGGTACCTACTTTAAAAGCCTTACACAAAACAGTTTGTTTATAATTAAACCGGCTCATTTCAACGGAAGAGCCGGTTCGTACCTGTTTTAATTAAACAAACTATTGTGGGTAATAAGGGAAGCCAAAATTATAATTTGTATGTTAACCTTTCTTGACGTGCCGTAATTGTTGTTAAAACAAATTATCAAGCTTGATTGAATATTTGAAATATTTTTCGTAAAATTTTCCTTAATCATTTATAGAAAATTATATTAACGATTGATATTTACCTATTTATATTTCAAAAACTTTCGGACAAATTTCTGCTCTTAATTTTTAAATATTTGTTAGAATAATTATATTCATGTTGCTATATATGCGATTGAAATCGCATGCACAGATTTAGTTATTAATTTTGGCATCTTTGTTTTCCTAGATCGTTTTGATGAAAGAAAACATATGTAAACTTCATTTATTTATGAGATCTAACCACTTTGTTTTTAATTAAAAAATTAAACTCTCTCTTAAATATTTTTCACTTACCCGTTTCCTAGTTTCATAGTCTAAAGCTCCTGCAACGTAGATGGCGCCAGTCATGTTTTTGACGGCGAAAGCTCCACCTATGTTCCCGCTCGTGATCTCATATCGAATACGCGACGCTGAAACAATGAAATGAGGAATATAAAGACATATACATTTACAGCCTGTACTTAAGAAAGAAGTGATCGCTTAAATAAATTAAAAGATATACAAGAATTATTTCAATGATTTCTCGTCTTCAAATGTAAGTTTTGTTTATCAAATAAAAAAAAATATTAATTAATTCAATGAAACAGCCGATATTGAATATTAGCCATTATAATGTTAAACTCCGAAGTTAAAGTTATAAGAGTTTTATGATCTTTATTTAGGTTATTAGAAATTATCGATTTATCAGCATGTAACAACTGAAGGATTTTTAAAGTAATCTTATGTCAAATACGTTACTAAACATGATAAAATATTAAATTGGTACTTTGAAAGGCACCATCCATCACGGACTTTTCGATTTGGAAAGTATGAGCAGATATATTAAGATCTTTAAATAACTCTAAAAAACTTACGCTCCGCAGCACAAAACCGATTTGAAATATTATAGCGCTTTCTTAGAGACGTGAGTACGTACATTCGCGTATTGAGTGGGGAAGTGAAAAATTGAATTCCTATCAGATTTATGACTAAGCTGTCTGGAGTAATAAAGATGTTCGAGTAGGTACTTACTATGTATAAGTACGATGTATGGCTTAAAAAATGATTTATTAAAAACCCGACATCTCTTTAGATAAATATCTATTAAATATATACAAACGTCTATTTTTTACGTGTTAATTATCGTTCTGCGATTTGTGTTAAATTACAAAAATAGTATCCGACGAAATTAAACTTCAAGACATTATACGAATTAGAAAGGCGACGTCATTGTCCAGTCGACTAACGGCCTTTCTCTGACTCTAGCATTTAAAAATCAAAATGTTTAACTATGAATTTTTTGATAAATCAATTATTAGTTAGAAGTTATATTACACGATAACGCTTTTAAAACTATGTATTTTACTGATTCTTCTCATTATAACCGTTCTTTTTCGCTATTCGAACTTCTGCGCCATAATTCGTATTTATACATAAAGTAAACAAATAACAAAGAAGTAACAAGGGTAACCTTGTTAGAGTTTGATAATTTGGATGACTTCGGTTGGTAAATGAAACCACACGTTTTCCGTTTATCTTGGCAACTAGTAATTGGATTTCCATTACCGGTAATGGTTAGGTTCAGATAAAATCAGTCGAATATATGTCTTACATTTTATATTGATACGAGATGGGATCCTGATAACCTAAACGAAGTAGGTTTGAATTCTAAAATTACTAGTTTTTTTTCGATAAATGAAAGAAAAATACTTTTTTTTAAATAATATATTTATAAAGTCTACAAAATCCTTACTATATGTTCAGCATGACACTGAAGTTGAAAAAACTAATTCGGATACAGTGCACGCACACACACTCACATTCTCATACACTCACGCATACTTAAGGACCTACATACTCTCTTTTTTTTTGTTTAATTAGATGTAATATTATGACTACTGTTTTTTGAAAAAATACTTTTATATATTCCTTGTGTTTTCAATAAACACCATGTACCATGACAGCTGTGATTAAGTCACCTTTAACACAGGAGCTCCCTAGAGTGGAGACTATCGGCCGATAAATTTTGTCACATTATTAAAATAAAATAGGACGAGGAAAATGAGTCCTAACTTGAAGAAAAACAAAACCGCCTCATGTACTGTACCTATATAATATGTATTTAGTATACCTTTTTGTTTAGTTTGGTCCTTATTTACTTTGCAAAACAATTAATGTCCACTCGAACTAAACTTATATATATGTATTACTTCTGTGAATAGGCCATAAGCATACATTTAGAAATATGTGTGCTTTTTATAGCTACCAATGTCTACATAATAAAATTTATTTCGCAATAAATATGATTTGCAACTAAAATTCTGAACCTAAATGTTATTTCTTTTCTTAATAGTTGAATTATTTATAACTATAATCAGTCAAATCGGTACACAATATAATCTTCAATTATGCTTTGTCATAACAATTATACAAACATTTTTCTCACTTTCCAGGTACAAGTGTCAATTTTCATTTCACACGAAAGGTGTGCAAACCAGAGACTATAATAAATTTTATTTACGCTAAAGACGCTCCAGATACCTCAACTTTGTTCAAGATTGCATACAATATTTCACCTTAAGATCATTGAAATGGATTTAAGTGAATTCTCATTTCAACCTTTACAAATACAGTATTATGATAAGATAATACAAGACAATTATTTTATTTATTTAAACACGACGGAAAACTGTCACATGTGAAAAAAATACAAAATCTGTTCTTTGTCATCTAAATTAGAGTTTATTAAAATTAAAATATCAAATCATTAATAATTTAAATTGAATTATTATTTTTCAAAAAGAAAATAAGGCTACTTATTTCTTGGCTCGTTGGATATAATAAAATAACAATAAACCTCTTTTTTTTTTAATTCACTTTTTAACTTTGATAGAAAACACAAAAGTATTTTACGCGATATTCAAAATTTGATAACTTCTTAAATATTTGTATAAACTGCTACAGAGGCGGTTTAATAATTGAAATAGATTCAACTTTAATATTCATTGTCTGTGTAAATACATTATGGTAATGTAATTTTAGTCAGACAAACGAAGACTCATGAAATATAATTTAGCTTATAATCTGTGACTACACAAGGCGTAATAATAACGATGTAATAAATACGGGTGAAGCTGAAATGTTTTCTTAAGACAAATCCCTTTCTTGTTAAGGTAAAAAGAACAGATTATTTTAAAGTTAAAACGTTCACAATTATACTGCATGCAGAATAAACTTTTCAATTAAAAATAAATTTAAAATGGAATGTATGTATATTATAATAGAAAAACGTGTTGGGTTATAAGTGTGCAGCGGTAGTCGCGTGCAGCAGTCCAGTTTTATTAATTTTTTTAATTGACAATATAAAAACATAACAAGACCATAGCAACGCCAACTTTAAATAACGAATTATGACGATATAATATGTATGCAAATTACCAAAGAGTTTCCTCTAATACACCCCCTTGATTTGCATACACATTTAACAACAAATATGTACTAAATAGTCATTACAAAAATATACAGACATGCAATCTTAATCTACACCTAACATTGAGATGCAGCGGTAATGTTTCTGTCTTTGTAAAGCTTTTGTTAGCACATCCGCCGCCATCTCCTCGGTAGACACATACGATAATTGTATGTCAGTATTCTCCCTTAAAACACTTCTTATAAAATAATATTGAATATCGAAATGTTTAGTTCGGGCGTGGAAGACTGGATCCTCCGATAGAAATAAGGCACCTTGATTATCGCAGTACAACACTATGTTCCCGAAATCGCGCAACCCTATCTCTTTCATAAGACCCTATCTCTTTCATAAGATTCGGTGTATCAACATCAGCAGAAAATTGATCTAGCTGAAAAGGATCATGAGTAATTGCCGATTTCCTGTCATCATTAGTATCGAGCCTCGTCTTGCAGAATTTCACATCCCTAGCTATAATGGTTTTATGGTCTACTGGTATCCATACCTTATATCCCTTTTGGTTCATTGGATATCCAATAAATATTCCATTGACACTTCTGGCAGCAAATTTGTCCTTGGTTGGATTCTTGTCTAGAACATAAACTTCAGCTCCAAACTTCTGAAGATACTCAATCTTCACTGGAGAGCCAAACCACTTCTCGTACGGAATTGTACCACCCAAACTACTCGTGGGACAACGATTCCTAATATGACATGCCACCAATACAGCATCTCCCCAAAAACCTGCTGAGAGATTAGATGAAAGTAACATACACCTAGCCATTTCAACTAATGTCCTGTTCATTCGTTCTGCATATAATAATAAAGGTTGTTTTTTCGATCTGCTATGAACTTAATATTCCCTTCAGAATCGGTTACATAAGCTGAATCTTTCTTAAAAGTTACATTCAAACCTTTATTATATGCGGGAGGGCCATGCTTCTGTTTCTGCGATTTCCGAAACTAAGAACGATTTACTATCCTGGCACGAACGTTTAGGTCACTTAAATGTGAAGGATTTAATAAAAGTATTAGGTCATGTGGGCATTAAAGTTGATATGTCAAATATAAATATTTTATACGACTGTAAGTATTGTGTGCAGGGTAAGATGACTTCTTTCCCATTTTCCAAGTCGAGTGGACCATGTGACGAAAAACTGTCCATCATCCATTCCGATGTAGTTGGGCCAATTCGAAATGAAACTGTCGGTGGTGCAAAATATTTTGTCACGTTTATTGACGATTGTACTAGATGGTGCGAAGTTTACTTACTGAAGAGTAAGAGTGGTGTTCTGGAATGTTTCAAAGAATACAAGAGCTATGTTGAGAACCTTACCGCTAAGAGAATAAAGTATTTACAAACTGATAACGGTGGAGAATACTGTAATAATAAGTTTGATCAATTCCTGAAACAAGAGGGGATAATAAGAAGACTGACTATACCTCAAACCCCACAGCAGAATGGCGTAGCAGAACGAATGAACAGGACATTAGTTGAAATGGCTAGGTGTATGTTACTTTCATCTAATCTCTCAGCAGGTTTTTGGGGAGATGCTGTATTGGTGGCATGTCATATTAGGAATCGTTGTCCCACGAGTAGTTTGGGTGGTACAATTCCGTACGAGAAGTGGTTTGGCTCTCCAGTGAAGATTGAGTATCTTCAGAAGTTTGGAGCTGAAGTTTATGTTCTAGACAAGAATCCAACCAAGGACAAATTTGCTGCCAGAAGTGTCAATGGAATATTTATTGGATATCCAATGAACCAAAAGGGATATAAGGTATGGATACCAGTAGACCATAAAACCATTATATCCCTTTTGGTTCATTGGGATTTATTTATTTGTTCATTTAATAAAAAAAAGGGGGAACTAGAGTGCTTAACCTAGTAACGATGGCGAGT